CATCTGTTTTGGATCCCCAACATCTTAGAATAGTGCCTGGTACTAGTAGGTGCTGAATAAATATCTGTTGAACAAATTAACCGTATCGCCAACGAGCCCCATATCTGCTCACAGTCCCCTGGTGGAGAACCTAAAAAAGCCAAGAAAGAAACCGCTGCTAGAGAACACGAATGAGAAAGCGCTCCAGAGTGCAAACACCAGGCATGCCTACAAGCATGTTTCACTAATGATATCCCTGCACTCACAAATAGAGGGATAAGAGCATGGCCCTGGAGTCAGAAGGCCCTGGTTTACATTCTGGCAGCAACCTTCGCCAGCTGTGACCCTGAGTAAGGTGCTTAACCTCTCTGGGTCTCACTTTCCACATCTAGACACAAAAAAGGGAGGTAATGGTAGTATCTGCCACATAAGACAGATGAAGATGAAATGAGATAAGCAGTTTCTGGGACACAGAAGTGCCTAATGAATACCAGTGAATTCTTGGTTTGTTTATTTTGATATATACCTGCAGTCCTATCTCTGGGAAGAATTCAGGATCATGGGTTCACTTCTCCCCACCAAAAGAAATGGCCTTAAATGAGGAAGAGGCAATCGAATGCATTCTTTTCCCTGAGGGATCAATAAGAAGGAAAAAAAATCGGCTCTTAAATCTGGGTTTTTTGGACCCTTCTCAATCTTCATGTCTCTTCTTGCCTTTTCTCCCACATCTATATAAAACCTTTCCTGAACTGCTGTGGGTCTGGCTTAGCCACAGGCACTGCTGGCCTCCAGAGACAGCTCTTAACTGTGTTCTACAATAACACTGTACCCCGGGCAGGGCAATTAACCCCGCTGGGCCTCATTCACATCGACATAACAGAGGAAGAGTTCAGGGGTGGAGTGGATCATCTTTAAATTCTCTTCCAAGTCTGAAAATCCACAACTAAGTAATTAATAACTATTATTAGTGCATTCAAGTCAAGCACTGACCTAAACTCAACTAGAAAGTACATCTTAACCATATTTGGAATACCACACAAACACAGGCAGAAGTACAGCAAACTCTAAAAGCTGAATTTTTCCTGGTCTTAGTTTCAGAGAACAACACACAAGTACCCTGAGGCTTTTATTTGGCTCCCTTATCACAATGGAACCGGCTCTTATTAAATCAGAACTTTCTCTTAGGATCACCTAAGGGTCCTTTATTTACAAGCTGCCAGGTACAGACACTAAGCATTTCTAACCACTATGAATTACCAAACCCATGCTTACAATTTCCAGGTAACTGAGCAGAAAACTGACAGTCTTAAAGAATCAGAATTGTCATTCGGCAGCAGAGAAGGTGACTAACTAGAAAACCATTTAAAAACCACACTACTGGGGTTTCCCTGGTGGCGCAGTGGTTAGGAGTCCGCCTGCCAATGCAGGGGACATGGGTTCGAGCCCCAGTCCGGGAAGATCCCACATGCCACAGAGCAACTGGGCCTGTGCACCACAACTACTGAGCCTGCGCTCTAGGGCCTGCGAGCCACAACTACTGAGTCCACACGTCACAACTGCTGAGGCCCGCACGCCTAGAGCCCATGCTCCGCAACAAACGAGGCCACCGCAATGAGAAGCCTGCACACCGCAACAAAGAGCAGCCCCCGCTCACTGCAACTAAAGAAAGCCTGTGCACAGCAACAAAGACCCAACACAGCCAAAATAAACAAACAAACAAATAAATACATTTATAAAAAAAAAAAACCACAATACTTTCTTGGGCTCTTCACGCTACCTAACATCTCCCCATCACACTGTCTGTCTCTGTTGAGGAAAAGGGGTCTAATTTAAAATGAAGTTATAGGTTAACAATGGGCATAGAAAGACATTTACAATATACATTTCTGGTGAAATGGGCAGATTACAAAATAATGTGATCAGCAATATTAGTCCCGTTTTGGTAAAAAACATATGCATACATCTACACACGTATCTGACAGGATACATTCCAAGTCGTTCATAAGCTTATACTTTTTCTGTAAAAAATTTGTTTGCTTATTTATATTGTCCTATTTTTCTACAATGACCACTTCGACTTCTGAAATAATAATAATTCAAACAGGTGTTTTATTTAATAAGAAAAGTGGATCTGGCACCCAAACTATAACCAAACACTGCCCTGAAGCAGAGCTCAGCATCCAGGGTTCCCCTGCACAGAGGCACCTTGTGTCTAAGGCTAAGCTGGGGTGGAGGTGTTGAGATGTTTTTAAGTACCAGCCATCGGGTACCACCAAGATAGGCCCAGCTCTCTCCCTCCTGTTCACCTCAGCCTCCAGAACCATCAGCTTCCCATTTACGCAATTTACTGATCTGCAACCCTCTGGGCAGAGTTCACAAAACATGACCAAAGATCCTAAATTACAGTTCAGGATTTTAACTTTCACATTCACTCATTTAGGAGAATCAATGACAGAAGAGCCAAGTTACTGTGGCAGAGATCCAGTTTTAACAGGTGAAGTTAACTCCCACCCCTCATTTTAGGCTGTCCAATGCCAATCCTTTCTGATCACAAGACAAAAAAAATAAGCCATCATGTTTATAAGCATCATCTTCAAATACTTTATCCAGTTAAGCCTTCTGCTTTTAATAGAAAGTGCTGGCTCTTGATAGCCTCTTTGGCATACAGAATGCAGCTGCTGATAAATCTTCTAAGATCTGATCAGCCTAGAACAAGTTCATCACCAGGCACAGGTATCATAAGGCACTTTGCACCGTGAAGGCGTGAAGGGTGTTCTGGAAGCTTAGTGATCTACCAGCAAAAAGGTGTGTGAGAAATTGCGACTTCCCAGCTAACAAAAACAAAGAGCATACGAAGAAGACAGTGATAGGAAAACACACGTGACAAGCAGTAAAGATGAGGGCAGTGTGAGGGAAAGGAATAGAAACAGCAGAATGACAGTCTTCAGAAAAGTGTTCTGAAGGATTCCACCTCCCGAGTCAAGAGAAGGTTACCAGACCCAGTGCTCTCAGAGGCACACAGGCTATACCTTGAAGCTGCTCACATGCATCTCCCATAACGTAATAGCTAGCAAAAGCTATACTGTACTTAACAGCAAATTGCCTCCTTACTCCCTCAATCCCTTATCTTCTAAAAACCATCCATGATTTAGGTCAGAGCCTTATCCTGTCACAAAATATTTTTTGAGACAGATTTCAACAAAGAAGTATAGTGTCTACACAGCACTATTTTCTTGCAAGAAAACAAAACTGCCAACTATACGGATCTGAAAAATGTGACCACTTCAGGCTTATTTTGGGGCTGAACCACTCCCCTTCCCTAATTATCCCTCAAAGGAAACATATCAGGAGCTGTGGGCAAAGAGGGTAAACATGTCTAATTACAACATGTGCTCTTGGTGGATAAAAAATTTGAACATTCTTGAACTCTGGCCACATTTCAGAAGACCTTCCACTTGTAGTTTAGTCTCCCTAAAGAGGAAAGGTTAAAAGATCAGTTGTGTTTCAACCAGGTCTCCATCAAAAAAGACACAAAGAGAAACTGACCACATTTCTTACCCTCCATACTACAGGAGAGCCTGCTGAATATGCAAGATGACCCTGACTCCTTATCAAGCACTTACAGAGGAAGTGGTTTTTATTTAAAAATCAGGACTAAAAATAAGACCCATTTCAAGAGTACTCTCCACTGGAAAAAAAGACACACATTTGAATTTAAAGATATATATGCAAAGGCTTCAGGCCACAGGTGGTCTTAGAGAAGCGGTCCTTGATCAAGCCCTCTCACCCACAGCCCACCTGCCTTTGCTCTACAGAGGTGTGAAGACAGCCGAAGAGTTTGCTGATGCTTCTGCACATTGCTGTTTAAAGTGCTGAGAGAGGAGCAGGAAAAAACCTTCAGAAATCCAAAATGAAAATGCATCTAATTAGGCATTTGGATTGGGAGCTATAGCTCAAGAAGCTCTCAGCAAGGCCTACAGGTTGTAACCTCTCTCACCTCCTCTCCTAGGACTCTCCCCCTCCTCCCCTGGATTCTGCAGGGCTGGTTTCCGTGATGGCCCTCCAACACTCCAGACTCTTCCCTCAGATCCCAAGCATCCTTCAAAGCTTTGCTCAAATGCCACTGCGCAAGGAGAAGGAGGTCTTTTCTTTTCCCATGATGCTTTCAACTTCTAAGATACCATATAATTTACTTATACGTATTTTATTCATTGTTTACCCCTCTCTCCCTCAGATAAGCTCCGGGAGAACGGGGATCTTTGTTTTGTTCATTGATGTATACCCCCAAGCAGTTCTAGAACAGTGCCTGGCACTGAGTAGGAGCTCAAAAAATATTTTCTGAATGAATGAATGAACTTGACAGTAAAACTCCAGGAGGAAAGCAGCCGGGGAGTCGGAAGGGTGATGGTGAGGGGGTGAAATAAAAGGGGGAAAAAGCGACAGAGGGGAATTTACAAGGAAGAGGTAGAGGCTGACTGAGGCCGGGACCGACCCACACTTTCTCCCTGCAGTGCTGACGGGAAGCGAGAGGCAGTGCACGGTATCCCGCCAGCGGCATCAAATAGCACTCTTAGAAGCAAGCAGCTGAGATAAGCAAGCTCTACAGACTCACTGAGAAATTCCAAGGGCAGGGCAGACCCGCCCGGACTGCAGGCTCTGGGCAGGTCCCCAAGGGGGTCCAGACGTCCCTGCTCTTCCCCTCTCTCGGTGCCCCAAACCCAGCTCCCCTCCACTGTAGCCAGGAGCGTGCCGGGCCGCAGTACCTTCCCGGCTCGGGCCCCTTCACCTGGTCGCCAGCAAGCCGGGCCCTGCACTCGAGCACCTGCCTGCCCGCGTCGGGGATCCTCAGCCGGGCCCGCCGGGAAGCCCAGCGCGCCCCTGGGGGCCTCACTCCGCTCGGCTTCCCTCCGGCACCCGGGCAGGAAGCGCCCGCGGCTCTTCCTGCGACGGGTAAGGGGCTGCAGGCGCCCCTCGCCCCTGCCGCTCCAGTAAGACGCCCCGCCCGCGCGGCGCCCCCTTACCTCGGGGCGTACATACGACACGAAGGAGGGCTTGGGCGCCTTGGTGCCGCCGCCACCGCCGACTACACCTTTCCCCAGCATACCGCCGCCCTGGGAAGCAGCGACGCGCGGGATCAGAGGCGGCCGCTCGCAGCGGCCACCAGCACTGGCGGCCGGGGCTCCGCCCATCCCCAGGGCAGCGGCGGCCGCGGCACCGCCCGCATCCGGCTCCGCCGCTGACACCGCTCGCCCCGCCCAGGCACGCGGGCCCCACCCACTCCGCGCGCAGGCCCAAGCAGTCGGGAACCCGCGGCCGGAGGCCACGCCTCCTCCGCTGGCGACAGGCCGGTCTGCCTGGCGGCTACTAGCCTTCCGAGATAGGCTCCATTCCACCGTTTGCGGCAAAGCCCGCCCCCATGCGTTCTCTGATTGGCCAGAAGCCTCTGCTGGCCGAGCCCCACGTCAAGTCCCTTCTTGAATGAACCTGGACAGATGTTTCTTCTGACCAATCCAGAGAGCGTTCTCTCCGGACTCCCCGGCGATTGGATAGCAAAAATGTCGCCGCCGCCAAGTGATCCTGCAGTCACTAAGTTGTGAGCATTGGTTCACTGCCGTCGTTCTCGTCTTTTTCCTTGCCGTTTTGGAATAAAACTTCCGAAAGTGTAGTGTATCGAATCTCACCGATTGAATGAGTGAGTTTCAAACCCCCATCAATGATGTTCGGGCTTACTGTTTTAAGTGCAGACAAAAATGAGACAAACCAAGTGCTAGGCACTTAGGAATGGGTTTGAATGATCATAAAAGGCCTTGTCGACCTCATTTTCTGAAACTTTTTTGTTTTTAATCTTTCCGTTTCTAACAGAATATCAAAAGGCCTTAAGAGATTTCTTTTATTCACCCTCCCAAGTTATCGATAAAACCCTCATTTTTAGTGAAGATTGCAAAGAAAATTCATTTAAATTCGACATTTGGTACGAAGCATTATGTTAGACACAGATGAATAAAACAGTTTCAGCTCTCAAGAAACTCAGTCTAGTGGAAAAAACTAATAATAAATATTTGCAGTTAACTTTCTCCGTGTCAGACCCTGGTAAGCATTAGTCTCGTCAATGGCTAATGCCCTTTACCCTCTTCATCTCCATGACCGCCCCCTCCCCCCTCCCGCGCACCAAAGCCAGGCCAAATAAACATAAAATCTGAGTGAAAACGAATGTGGTTACTTTTTTTTCATCTCTCAAGCTTTCATATATTTATTTTAATAGATCTTTATTGGAGTATAATTGCTTCACAATACCGTGTTAGTTTCTGTTGCACAACAAAGCGAATCAGCCATATGCATACACATGTCCCCACATCCCCGAATGTGCTTACTTTTGAAAACATAGGTCAGGACAAGTCCTGTGGTCTCATTTCAACCTGATTGCCATCCTTCAGCCTATCCAGTACAGCATGGCTGGAGCTACCAGAGTTGCACTATCCCAGTCCTCAAGAAGAGCAGAAGCAAGTAATTTGCCCTGGTCTCGCAACAGGTCACTGACAGAGCTGGGATTCCAGCCCAGGTGTGTCTGATTCCTAAGCCCAAGATCCGAACATTATTATAATTACACAAATTAGGAAGGAGCACGATAAAAGAGCGGTCAATTCTATTTAGGAAGGCTAAGTCAGGCTTCATGAAGAAAGACGCTCCTTAGGGAGGTGTCCGGAATGAAGTTATTTGTGGGGACTAATAGTAGCACTTTATATTTCACAGCAGTTTTTACTTTTCAAAGTGAAACGGCAGGGCAGATTTTTACAGTCTGAACAAATCTTTACATTCTGACTTTTCAGTTTTCCATGATCTTGCACTGACCATAGTCAGTATGTTGGCGTGGGTGCCTGTGGCCAGGGCTTGCTTCCTGGACATGCAACTAGTGCAGTCACACAGGCCCGCAGCTAGAAGGGCTTGGGGCTTAATGCTCTGCGGTCGCGGCCTTCAAATTCTGAATCATTTTATCTTCAAATTTGTGTTTTTTAAGTGAGGTGTGATGGTACGATGGAACAAGCCCAGGGGTCTTGAAGCCTCAGCTCCTGCACAGTCCTCTTGGGTGCCCACCCTGTCCTGGCACCCTGGCCCTCCCCAGCCAAACCTAAGTCTCCTGCTTACCTCTGTCGGGGCGGCAACCTGGCCTCATCATCAGAGGGGGAGTAGTGAGCGGGAGGTCTTGGGTTCTGCCATCGCCATCCACCCCTCCCGCCCACGGGTGCCTGGACATGGACAAGGAGATGATCAGGGTCAGGCACAGCCCCCCAACCCCTTCCCATGTCTCTGGGTGGGGTAAGCAGGCATCCCTGCCCTAGGTTGGCAGCTCCATAACTATGCCCTTTATTATTTGTGTTCTTGGGCAAGTTACTTCATCCCTCTGTGCCTGTGATTCTGTCTGGGATGATAATAACAACAATAATAACTATGTCAATGTGGCTGAGGACTATTATGAAGATTAAACGAGGTAATCCAGGCGATGCCTGGTAGGCAGCAAGAACTAAACAGGTGCTGGCTGACAGTACAATCCCACCAAGGAAGACATAATTTACCCCCTTTCCAGGACTGTAGAAGGAGAAGAAAAGTGACTTCTGATGATGCTCTGCGGCACCTTGTTAAACAAAGGGGTTTTGTTTGTGTCCTTGTTTGTTTTTGTTTTTAACCTCTGGCCCAATCCTTGGACTAGAGATAATGGCTTTTATTTTTAATCCACCACATCAAATTTTCCTGAAATCATCCTGCGGTGTAATAATGACTTTATCCTGCTCTTCAGCATCCAATGGCTCTGCAACGTGACGACTCTGGAAACTTGATGCAGCCACTGCGTCCATACAGTTTCAGAAATCACAGGCAGCAAGTGAGGAACGGTGTTAGAGATGGAGAGTGGGGCTTCCCTGGTGGCGCAGTGGTTGAGAGTCCGCCTGCCGATGCAGGGGACACGGGTTCGTGCCCCGGTCCGGAAAGATCCCACATGCCGCGGAGCGGCTGGGCCCGTGAGCCATGGCCGCTGAGCCTGTGCGTCCGGAACCTGTGCTCCGCAACGGGAGAGGCCACAACGGTGAGAGGCCCGCGTACCGCAAAAAAAAAAAAAAAAAAAAAGAAGAAGATGGAGGGTGGCTGCTGCTTCCCGGGGCGGGGGCGTTTTCTGCTCACTGATGAAAACCCGCACTTTCTTTAAGGAGCAGGAAGCGGGTGAGGACAGAGAATAAGCTAACATCCGTTTCCATCTCGCTCTTAAGGTTCTCCAGCTATCAGCATATTTTTCACTTGATCTTTAGGGTGTGGATCAAATCTCCTTGGGAGAGTCCCTCCCAACTGACTGAAAAATCCCTGTCATGCTGAGGTCAAATAATTCTCCATCTATTAATAACCGCAGATGGTGGCCCCTAGACCTTCAAATATTTTAATTTACACATATTAGTTTAAGGTCACTCCTTTCTCCTAATGCTGCCCTGAGCTCTCTTGGAGAATTATAAATAGGAACAAATCTTAGCTCACAAAGAAATGAGTGCCAGACCAAAGACAGTGCCGTTGCTTCCCACAAACTGAAGCCAAGTGTGTACTCCCACAAGGGGGGAACATTCTTCCTCCGGCAGGTAGTTAAGCCTGGATATTTGCATTTCCTTCTCCTGGGAGTCACTTGAAGCAGCCTACGTGTGTGTGTTATTCATCTTTATCTGATAGGTACCAGGAACATAGTAGGGATTCAATAAATATTTGCACCTGAGTGAAAGGGTATTTGCTGAAAAGCAGCCTGGCCAGCAACTGATTAGTAAGAAGGGGAAGCAAGAATTCAAACTCTAGCATCCGGGTTAGAGCCTGCACTTTTAAAATCGCTTGGATACAAACTAAGATCTGATTTTTTTTTTGAAGATTTATTTGTTTGTTTGTTTGGCTGCATTGGGTCTTAGTTGCGGCACGTGGGATCTTCATTGAGGCACACGGGATCTTTCGTTGCAGCACACGGGCTTCTCTCTAGTTGTGGTGCGCAGGTTTTCTCTTCTCTAGTTGTGGTGCACAGGCTCCAGAGCACGTTGGCTCTGTAGCTTGCGGCACGCAGTCTCTCTAGTTGAGGCACGTGGGCTCAGTTGCCCCATGGCATATGGGATCTTAGTGCCCTGACCAGGGATCGAACCCATGTCGCCTGCATTGGAAGGCCAATTCTTTACCACTGGACCACCAGGGAAGTCCCAGACTTGATTTTTTAAAAAATAAAAATGAATGAATGAGTGAATAAATAAATAAAAGTCGAGGACTAAAATGCACGTGTTATTTAATGGCTGCTTGCCAAATTCCAATTTTAGCAAATGGCGAAGACTTGCCTTCTTCTTTCACTGAAAATAGAAAATTCCTTAACCTCTTGCTGCATCCATGCGTCTTCCAACCCTCCCCTGAAGATGGTGAGGAATAGATCTGGATTAAGAAGCATTTGCATCGTTCTCTACTTTGTGGTGCAATAAAATGAGGGCCTGCTGGGGAGACCCAGTGATTGTGAACAAGGGCTTCCTGGTGATTTTTTTTCTTTCACAAACACACAGCCTAAACTGGCCACATGGTAGGGGGCCTGATGAGCCTACTCTATGAACTGTATTCTGTCTTCTTCAAAATGAGACAGGCTGGGCCCTGGGACCCTTTACTGCAGTGCTTGCACCTGGACAAGCATCTCCTCGTGGATCTGAATACAAAGAAACATTAAGGGACTAAAAACAACTACAGGCATGGGCAGTTGGGGCATATTTTGAATAACATACAAAAAGGCCAAAACCCAACTGCCACTTCTGAGGTGGCAGAGCAAAAGCAGGGCTCGGCGCATGCACTCTACACACAACACCACCAACGGGGTGGGCAGACCACCCACGCTACCCCTCTGGCTACCCACCCACCCATCGCTACCCTCACCCCGTCTACAGGCCAGCTCGCCCCGCACTCAGGGAGCAAGCAAGAGGACGTGCCACTTGCTCTCGCTCTCTCGTCTGGCCTCGTATCAACTTCTATTGCTTAAAGAGTCCAAGAACCTGGGTTGGTAACAAATACACAAGTTAACAGTCTGATTCATTTATTTATTTATTTATTTATTATTTTTTTAACATCATTTTTGGAGTTATAATTGCTTTACAGTGGTGTGTTAGTTTCTGCTTTATAACAAAGTGAATCAGCTATACGTATACATATATCCCCATATCTCCT